TTCAATTTGTCACATTAAAGAAAAATTTAAGAGAAATGTCACCTTAATTTTTCAAAATCCATGATTTGTCATATGACTTTAACACCATCCAATTTTTCATACATTTTAAAGGGTATTTCAGCCTTTTCATTTTCAAGAGTATTTTAAAAGAATAATGTTATTCTTACCATATTTGTATATCACATCTCTATACCATCTTATATGGCAGCTGAGGTGGACAGCCACATTAATTAAAATTATTTATTATTATTTATTATTTATTCAAGCATTTGTTTTTCTAATTGTTTTAATTAAAATGTGGGATATAAATGTGGTAAGTGTAGCATTACTCTTGATTTAATTGATGTGTCATATAATATGCCCATGCCACATCATGTGGTATAGAAATGTGGGAAAAAAATGTGGTAAGTGTAGCATTATTCTTTTAAAAATAGAAAAATAATTATATAAAAAATTGTATATAAAAAAAATCCCACCTTCTCCCATCCCATGTGCGGCACTGGAGGCTTCGACCAACCCCGCCCACCTTGAAATTTATTACCACTTCTTCATTCTCTCTCAACCATGGAACACCTACCCTCCACACACAAATTCCCTTAGCCCACCCAAAACAAATCCACCTTTTTCGTATTATTTTTTCTTTTTGGTATTTTTCCATTTGCATATTGAAAATTTGTGGAGAGAGAGAGAGAGAGAGATAGATAGATAGAAACAAAGATAGAGTAGGGGGAGGGGGGGTCTTGTGCAATGTGTTTAGGGGCAGGTGGGTTTAGGATGGGGGAGAAAGGGAGAGATGTATAATTTTTCTCTCTTATTTTTTTGAAAATGGAAATGCTAAAATACCCTTAGAATGGATGGAAAATTAGATGGTGTTAAAGTCAGATGACAAATCATGGATTTTGAAAAATAAAGTTGTCATTTTTTTTTAAAGGCGACAAATTGAAACTGAGATATAAGTTCAGGTGACATTTCTACAAAAATCCCTTTATAATTTGAAAATTTTCTTTTAGGGTTCCTTTGATGGATTTAGATAACATTGTAGGTTTTATTTTTTATTTTTTATTTTTTATTTTTTTACTACTACAATATCTGCATGCAAGATTTGAATAAAAGAGAAAAACAAGTGGGTTCAAATTACTTATTGCATTTATTCATTTCAAATGTACTACATCATTAATAAACAAAAGATCAATGGGTATGAACATTGTTATCCACAAAAGGAATTATTGTTGAGACTTTTGGTGCCGAATTTAGTGTCAATATACTACTTTAGTATATTATCAAGACTAAAACGTAGCTTGCTTCTATATATAACATGTTTATTTATTTTCTCATATATTCTAGAATATGATCTGTGTTGTATCATGCCTCCCTCACTCGGTCTCTCCCCTGGTCCCCTCTCTCATTCTTTCCAGAAGACGTCTCTGATTTAGTAAACCCTGATGATTTATTTATAACAGAAAACTAAGATGAGACACCATAAGAAGCTCAAAATTCTGAAGGCCGAAGAAATAAATATATAAAAAACTGCACGCCAAGGAGAAAAGTACACCAACATTGACGACCTTGACTGACTTTGTCACAACTGACCCTACTTCTGAATATTTGTTCAAAATATATAAAAATATATTAAAGAAGCAAAATTCTTGGTTTCTCTCGTCCCTGGGGAGACAGCCGGCTAACGATACTGAATAAATAGTCACCAAATATTTTATCACAAGAAAGACCAATTCAAATTCTAATGGAAAAAAACAACTGAAAAGTCACCAAATAATTGGCCTTTTCTCAACCAACGTTACTATATAAATGTCTGCAACTCTTTTCAGGTTTTCACTACTCACTTGCTCGATAATATTTCAGAAACATCAGAAATAATTAAGGGAATAAAGATGATGAGTTGTAGCAACATGATGAGAAGGCATTTGGAGTTGCAGGGTCCAAGGCCTAAACCTCTTGTGGTGAGCAAGAATTCAAGGCAGGAGATGAAGAAGAAGAAGAAGAAGCAGCAGCCGATTTCGTCAAATCCAGTTATAGTTTATCTGATTTCACCAAAGGTTATTCATGTGCAGCCTCAAGACTTTATGGATCTCGTGCAACGGCTTACCGGAAATAATAATAATCAAGGTTAACTTAGTTGGCCATGGATGCTAGGTTAAGAAATTTGCTTTGCTTCTGAGTTCTAGGTCTTGCTCTTTCTTCTAAGTGTGCTTTCTTGTTTGATCAGCCATGAAGAAGATAACTTCAGTGAGAACCAACAGAAACTCAACATAGATTAGTTCTTGCATAGATTACTTCTTGTATACATTATAGCTTTTGACTTTGATGGATATATACACCATATTTTTTATATTATTTATATGTTTTTGTATGTGAATGTTAACTGATCAGGTTGATTCTTGTTTGAATGTTATTCGAGCTCGGTGGATTTTGAAATACCATAATAGAATATGGTAGGAAGAAACGGTTTTCCAAATATTCTGGACTCAAATAACATTCAAACAAGAATTTTGAAATACCATAAATAGAATATGTTATAAAGTTGTCATTTTTTTTTAAAGGCGACAAATTGAAACTGAGATATAAGTTCAGGTGACATTTCTACAAAAATCCCTTTATAATTTGAAAATTTTCTTTTAGGGTTCCTTTGATGGATTTAGATAACATTGTAGGTTTTATTTTTTATTTTTTATTTTTTATTTTTTTACTACTACAATATCTGCATGCAAGATTTGAATAAAAGAGAAAAACAAGTGGGTTCAAATTACTTATTGCATTTATTCATTTCAAATGTACTACATCATTAATAAACAAAAGATCAATGGGTATGAACATTGTTATCCACAAAAGGAATTATTGTTGAGACTTTTGGTGCCGAATTTAGTGTCAATATACTACTTTAGTATATTATCAAGACTAAAACGTAGCTTGCTTCTATATATAACATGTTTATTTATTTTCTCATATATTCTAGAATATGATCTGTGTTGTATCATGCCTCCCTCACTCGGTCTCTCCCCTGGTCCCCTCTCTCATTCTTTCCAGAAGACGTCTCTGATTTAGTAAACCCTGATGATTTATTTATAACAGAAAACTAAGATGAGACACCATAAGAAGCTCAAAATTCTGAAGGCCGAAGAAATAAATATATAAAAAACTGCACGCCAAGGAGAAAAGTACACCAACATTGACGACCTTGACTGACTTTGTCACAACTGACCCTACTTCTGAATATTTGTTCAAAATATATAAAAATATATTAAAGAAGCAAAATTCTTGGTTTCTCTCGTCCCTGGGGAGACAGCCGGCTAACGATACTGAATAAATAGTCACCAAATATTTTATCACAAGAAAGACCAATTCAAATTCTAATGGAAAAAAACAACTGAAAAGTCACCAAATAATTGGCCTTTTCTCAACCAACGTTACTATATAAATGTCTGCAACTCTTTTCAGGTTTTCACTACTCACTTGCTCGATAATATTTCAGAAACATCAGAAATAATTAAGGGAATAAAGATGATGAGTTGTAGCAACATGATGAGAAGGCATTTGGAGTTGCAGGGTCCAAGGCCTAAACCTCTTGTGGTGAGCAAGAATTCAAGGCAGGAGATGAAGAAGAAGAAGAAGAAGCAGCAGCCGATTTCGTCAAATCCAGTTATAGTTTATCTGATTTCACCAAAGGTTATTCATGTGCAGCCTCAAGACTTTATGGATCTCGTGCAACGGCTTACCGGAAATAATAATAATCAAGGTTAACTTAGTTGGCCATGGATGCTAGGTTAAGAAATTTGCTTTGCTTCTGAGTTCTAGGTCTTGCTCTTTCTTCTAAGTGTGCTTTCTTGTTTGATCAGCCATGAAGAAGATAACTTCAGTGAGAACCAACAGAAACTCAACATAGATTAGTTCTTGCATAGATTACTTCTTGTATACATTATAGCTTTTGACTTTGATGGATATATACACCATATTTTTTATATTATTTATATGTTTTTGTATGTGAATGTTAACTGATCAGGTTGATTCTTGTTTGAATGTTATTCGAGCTCGGTGGATTTTGAAATACCATAATAGAATATGGTAGGAAGAAACGGTTTTCCAAATATTCTGGACTCAAATAACATTCAAACAAGAATTTTGAAATACCATAAATAGAATATGTTATTCCAAATATTCGAAAGGCGACAATGAAGAATTTTGAAATACCACAAGCCACATTAGAATTTGACAATTAATCTCTAATACATAATCCGAAGGCGACAATGAAGAATCTTTAACATGGTCTTAAAACTCATATTGACAAACGGATGCTTTGGGAGGAAGCCACCTGATTGAATTAGCCCGGCATTAGAGCTCCCCAAAACAGACGTTGATGTAGAAGAATTAGGACATTAAAACTCAGCACATATTTGTTGATGCAGTAATTGTCAAAAAATTTGTTAAGCAAAAGTTGCATGTTTCAATTTATTTGGTCCAAACAAAAAAGGAAGAAGCTCATTTTCATAAACTAATTAAAAGATTTAGGATTTGCCTTGAGAGGGAAGTTATTGTTGAAGAATGTAAAGTTCCACCTTAAAAACTTGACGGAATAAATTACAACTTATAATAAGTGGTTCCACTCTTAATAACACTGAGGTTTTTTATGATAAAACTCCACGCCTACTGACTTTTGTAGATGGTTAAGTTGAGGACAATATCAGTGTTGTTAATAGTAGACCACTGACCCATCTTTCTGAAATTTAACGGTTATTTTCACTCTCTATATAATATACCCAACTAGGACTCTAGAGACTAGAGAGTAAAGGCAGTAACATTTTCCAAGGAAATTTTAAAAGAAAGAGACTTTGGAAGTTTCAGATTCCATTCATTTGGATTGTGACTTCAGACCGTGACAGCGCGAGGGAGATAAACGGTCATTAACGTCCGTGAGTTTACGGCGTCACTTTCAGGAGGGAAATTCTAAATTGTTCAAACAAAATTTGTCGAATCTCATAACTTTGCCGCATTTTCCCACCCTTTCTCTCTCTCTCTCTCTTCTATTCTCTTCTCTTCTCTCTGCCCCTTCGGTTTGCCCTAGTATCTGGGACTGGGATTTGATTTTTGGGGCAAATCGATCGAAACAATAGAGATTGATCTCGTTCGACGCTACGCTGCACTGAGAGCTCTTCTTCGTCAATGCTTTTGCTCTGGAGATCTCTTCTTCACTGAGGTTAGACTCTCTGGTTCTAAAATTGCAAGATTTTGACGCAATATATGCTAATTAGTCGATTAGGGTTCATTTCGTATTTGATGGTAATCAATTTGGGTTTTCTGGAATTTGAATCGGATTGCTTACATACAGATTAACTGCTGAATTGGTGAACGAATCGTAAAAGTCGTTTCTTTTTTTGGTAAATTTCTGTTAGTTTAATCCTTGTTGTAATAGCTAGCTGGGACTTTGAAGGGTTTTGTTGCCTTTGCTTATTGAATCGATGCTCTAACCATATGTAGGACCTGAAACGACCTTTCGTCAATCGTGTTTGAGACCAAGATATGGCGAAGGTTGCTCCACCTGGTTCTCTACCTTCCACTTCCATGAAGATTGGTGGTGGGACTTTGAAGGCTGGTGCAACAGTGAAAAGAAAGACACCATCTGAACTGAGAGTAAGTTGTTGAACCATTGGGCTTGTTTTTCTCCATGAATTGTTGTGTTATTTTGCTTGCCGAAATCTCCCCTCCCAGGGCTTCACATTAAGTGGGATTCGCTACTGCACTGGGTTATGGACAGGCGATTCAGTTTACGATACATTCTGTTAAAGACTTAGTGCTATATATGGTTATTGTATGGTGATATATCTGCCTATTACAAACAAAAGATTATGTATAGATTAGTACTCATTTTTATTGATGTGTACTTTCAAGAAGCTTTGCATATAATTCTACAGGCAATGTAGTTAAGAAGGTTTTCATTTATAATGTGTGCATGACAGGGAGAGCAGCGGATGAATGCAATGGAGATTAGTGATGAATCTCCAGCTCCTTTGCTTGGTTCCACAAGGTTTAATTTCTCTATTTCTTTTTTAGTTTAGTTTTGTAAATCACCAACATGTGTTCCTTTTGTTTTTTCCTTGATCTCATTACTGACTGTCTTCTTAATGTAACACTAGTGAGGTGGAAAATGGGCTTAAGAAACCAGAACTGTTCAGGAATCCTAGATACACTGACATTCGTATGGATGAAGTGTATGCTGCAAAAAAATCTAAGTTCAGGACTCTTTCTGGAAAAGAGAATGCTAAGGTTTGCACATAATCATAAAAACCTTTTCCCCTATTATTTTACTATTAAAATTTAACCGTTGTTGGGCTTATGCAAAACTACCCTATCATTGTGCTTAGGGAAATATTTCAGTGGAGCAACCTAGCAGCCTGAAGAATGTTTCTGTGGTCTCAAGTTTGGTTTCCAAGAGAAAACACCAAAATTTCAGGTGTGTCTTTCAGTACTATGCCTACCTAATTAATGACAAACATGCCATTGTTATTTTCTTATCAATTCTATCTTGTTTCTCCAAACAGTCCAGAGACTGTAGCTTCTGATAAAAACACTGAAAATGGTGTGGCGCAAGCTTTTCAAACAATTGGAAAGTGTAGTCAAAGTACTTTCCGTAGTGTTACTGAGCTTTCATCAGGCGGTGACAGATTGTCTGGTTTTGCAACTGTCGATGTGGTAAACTTAGTAGAATTTCCTTTTAACTACATAATCTCAAAGAATTTTTGTTAACGATTCTGCACTTATTTTACCAGGATAAAGCGTTAAAAGGAATGGCTGCCCATGAATCCTCAGTCACCACTGGTTTACCTGCTTATTCTTTTGAAAGATGCCGGGATCTTACATCAACTGGTTCAGGCAACTTTTGCTTACCTGGTGCAAAGGTTCCTCTGGATTTTACTTTGAAAACTAGTATGCGGGTGGTGTCCTCTTCCCCAGTGAATTGGTTAGTATACAGCTAAAGCTGTTATAACAATTTCTTTAGATTCCACAAAAAAAATTGCTGATATAGTTGGAAATTTACTTGTTTCATTCCTGATAGTTATCTTGAGTTTGTATCTCTGTGTTCTAAAATTTTGTATTTATATAGAGTTGCTAACAAAAAAGGTCCTTAAAAAAACAGTTTGTTTAGTTTCAAGTACTTAAAGACAGGATCGCTACTTTTGCATTCTTTTGGTTTGTTAATCCATCCCAATGCACAGTTAATTACTTGTGCGCATGCATTAATCCTTCAACCAAGATAATCTGTTATGCAGGTTCAATAAACTTGAAGACTGGGTCAAAATAAGTGACAAAAAAATATGAATTATTAGCAGATATTGGCTAGGCGTTGGTGTCTTAGTCAAATCATCAATTTATGCTTGTGAATGGATTATATGAAAATACTATAATTTTAATCCTGTGCCCAGATGCAAGTGCCATATTATTTCTATCCATACATTAGTTTTTCATTAGTAAAGTAATTATATATATATATATATATATGGACAGTGCAGACATGAGAAAACTAGTCATTTCATTTTGTTTAGAGGGTGTCCCTTGCACATTCTATTCACCTGTTACACCCATTTTGTGCTAATGCATTGCTTATTTCCATTAGTTTTTCATTGGTCATAGTTGGCAGGATGTTTGTAATTAGTTCATTCATTTTGCATTTTCAGGATTCATAGGTCAGTAACGTGCGGAGCCTACACTACTATGCCTTATCTCAAGTTCCAGTCTAATTCTTATGAGGATCAAAATAGGAGCCACAGCTCAGGGCTCACATCAACTTCCCAAGTCATTAGTTCTAAACTTCTTCATTCATGGGTTTACCCTCAATCTACGCTACCACCTTCTCTTATACAAGTGTTGACCTCATCAACAGCTGAGGGAGGTGCGCCAAATATATATATATATATATATATATTTATTTATTTTTTGCAAACTGTTTTGATTTTCTCCTTTCTTTATTTTCCTGAAATTGTCTTATTATCAATAGTTTTACTTTTACTTTTGCAGCGGAAATGGAATTCTTAAGAAAACGACAGGTAGCATGGGAGGACTCATTTCAAAGTCTTTACTACATGCTTCGCAATGGGACCTGTAATATCTTTTATGGTAATTACTTATGCCCATACAATGTGTTTTTTCAAGCCACTTTTATGTGTGTTTATATATGTAATACTTTTTGAACTCTCTTAATTTATTATTTATTGATGTACAATTGTTCCTCTACTGCAAGGCTCCTAGCCTTCTTCTAAGAGTGGGGATACAATTAATGAATCATGCCTTATGTAACATACAAGGATTAGTTTCTCCCCATTTTTCAGTCTCTGCTAAATCTTTTTTTATGTTAGCTTTTGCATATAACTATAAATCATCATACACAAAACAAGAATGTCTTATTTCATTGATGTAGCTTCAAGAAGGCATAGACTTTACTTTGTGGAGCTAAACCCTCTTTATTTTTTCCATATGAACTCCACACTGATTTCTATTTTCATTTACAAATCTTATAGTGTGTACTCCATATTTTGTGGTGATGTTCACTGGTTCTGACGTCGCTGGAGGCTCAAAACGCTTCAACAATGCTTATATCTCACAGTCAACAGGAGCCTTGCGATCATTGTTAAGAGAGCATGTAAGTTGCGAGTATTATTATTATTTTTTTAGAAGTGTACTCATCTTAATTGTATAAATGTTCACAGTTCTCTTGTTATTTTTGCCTTTTTGTTCTTTAAATCTAATGTTTCAGGCTGAGGATGGCCCTTGTACTGTAGTGTGTATTTTGTGTATCATCTGAGTATGGACCTTGTACTGCTTTCTTTGTCCTTTTTTTTCTATATGTCTTACGTTTTTTCACTGTACAATATTGGCATCAGGACGTTTGTTTCTCTATGCCTCTTTGCCGTTCTAAAGTAGAGCAAGTCGCTCAAGATGTTCTTATTGAGCTCTCAGAGATGGAGAAGCAGAATTTCAGCCAGGTTAATATCTGTTTTTTCTTCCCCACATATCACTCTTTGTTGTTGTTTTGCTTATTTTATTTCAGGCCTGGTGAGGTCATGAAATACCTTTCTCTACTTTTTGTGGGATATGGTGAAGATTAGTTGCTTCATTGTTCTACTGAGTCGCCAATACTGGGCAGCAGTTGTCTGTTCTTATCCACCACTTGATAATATAAAAACTTTCGACAGTTTCAGAGAACAAGAAAAGAGTAGTCTGAGAGTCTTACATGTTTTTTTTATTGGACAAATAGTCTTACACTTGACAATGAGGTTTGTATCATTCCACTATTATCTTTATAAAGATATTGGTTGGAAGGATGATCACGCATGCCAAACCATATGCATTGGTCACGTCCTCGTGCCATTTCCAGCTTGACATGTTTTAAAGATCCTTTATATGCTTAACTTATTTGTGCCTCCATTGCAAATTTTGCAGACTCGGCGCTCGAGTTCCTTGTCTGATATAGATAATACTCCGGAATCATTGCTTGTTTTCAGTGGCAATACGAACGTACATGGTCTGTTCGATATTTTGTTAAATTATAGGTATGTAATTGTAAAAAGATAACTCTGTTGTAACCTCAGCCACTTGGTTTTCAAATTCCATGTATCTGGCTAAACTGATTAAACACTTATTTGTTATGTATTATCTTCTCATTTGATCTTGCTTTCTTCTGGTTACAATTCAGATCTTTCTTGACTGTCTTGATGGGAATAGATGTTCCTGTATTATATTCACCTTTGCCATTTCAGAATGCTGCAATTTCTTCTCCAGAGGTGGGTGTGAAAAATGTTTGTGGTTCCTTAATAACATTAATTGTTATGCGACGGAGATTGTAGCATACTATGTCAGCATGTCTTGTTGTCATCAAACTGAATTCTGTATCTGTTTGAGTATGTGCTTTTGGGTGGAGCTTTATGCTTGCCACTGCCAATGCTATTAGTAACTATTAGAGTCAAGGCATGATTTATAGCCTTCACCGTATCATAGATAATGACTTACTGGGCCTATGTTTTTACCTAATAGAGATCCCAGACCTGTGCAGAGAACAATTCCCACCATTTTGTCATGAATATGCTAACTTGCCTTTTCATTATGTTGAATTTTCTCTGAAATATATTTGCAGGTTAAATGCATGGAATTGAAAAGACCGGACCATATTGTTGCTCCCAATAAAGGATCCATCATTAATGATGATGGATCCATTAAAAGCTCATCAGCCGGTCTCTGCTCAAGTGTTGAAATTAAGGACGCATATCTTCCACCATGGATCATTTGCAGCCTATGTGCCATAATGGGCTCTGAAGGGAAAAGCTTTGAGGCGAGGTAAACATTAGCGTCGTTTCATATGAACCCTTACATACTAGTCTGAATTTAGAGATTTTCTTTGTTTTAAGTAGTCTGAATTTGGAGCTTACTCGGGGCTTTACTTGATTTGGGTTGTTTCCAGCTTTATGAATGAACCTACCTCAAACGGTTTGAATGTTGCTATAGAAGCAGTTCCTGAGAAATCTGATTGTCAAGGTGCGGCAGCTGAAGACTTGCAAGAAAGCACTTATGCATATGGTATTCCAGAAGCCACTGTTACTCCTTACTTGCGCATGGGATTATTGGAAACTTTGAAGTTCTCAAATGGTTCTTATTCAGCTTCTCTTTCTTCGGCTTTAGAAGCCGACTAGAAATACAATAATTTGTTTTCACAATGTTTCTGGCCGATTTCAATTCTTTAATTTTAACTAATTGTATGTGCTTTGATTTGGTCTCATCTAATTTTGGATGGCCTTGTTTTGGTTATATAAGATTTGTTTTACCAATTAAATTGTGCTACATGAATCCTGGAAATATGGCAATACATGCTGCATGATTAATGGTTTTATTGACAAAGAATTATCAGCAAATGTACTATAATCTACGCTCTTGGAATGCAGTTGCAACTTCATATGCATTGACAAACTTACGACCATATCGTAATAGTGCCGAAAAAGTTTCAACTCAAGACGATTGTCCAAAAAAATTTTCATAAGTTTTTGGTTGTTGCAGTGGATACTAAATACGTTACAAGATTTTATGACCTTGAGGAGAAATTCTTGTTGTACTAGAAAGTTGGTCAAGTGACCAGCATTAAGGGGCTGTATACAATTTTTGCATGCAAGATTTTGCGAACAAGGTTATGTTTTTAAGGTTTCTATTTGAAACTAAGTAAGAGAGGGAAGGGGTTCAAGCTGAGGGGCAACTCCTTTTGTGTAGCCTGTTACTCAAAATTCGACAACAAAAACACCTCTTGGCACTTTCAACATGAGTAACCCTGGGAATGGCAATATGGAAATGCTCCTGAAAAGGCAGGGCAAGAATTGATTTCCAGAATCGATCTTTATGATTCATGGATCGATGGTGAGTAATCTTGAGTTCCAGCTAAGGGTGGGGGTATTAGGCTATCGTTATGTTGAGCTGCGTTTGCTAAAGTTTATGAGTTTCCTACTTTAGTCAGGGCCAGGCAAGTGCCTAGTGAACCTAATACTCGAAAAATGGGAACAACAAATAGGTAGAAGCTCATTGCCTATGAGATTTGAACTCAATTTTCCCCCATGCCTATGAGATGCACTAAGGCAGGAGAAAGAAAAACACTCAATGCCATTATATGGTAAAAAATGATAGAAATACAACAATGTCTAATGAATCAAATTAGTGTCAAAATTGTTCTTTTCCTCTCATTTTGCTGGAGGCAAGATTAGTTCCAGTTTGCTCAGTCTTGTGGTCCCTTCCTCTAGAAAGAGAACTTGAAAGCACCGGCCTTCGAATCTGTAACTGAATCCCAGAAGGATGGTTTTTTCTGTTGGGCCTTCTTCTCTTCTGCCTTCTGTGTAAGATGATCAATAGTACCAGGAAAAGAAGCCTCAATAGCACTTGTAAACTTATCATACAAATTCACCCGATCTCTCGTTCCAGATACAAGAGTGCTGGCATTTGGCCTCTTAAGAAAATCCAAGACATTCAACAAATTTCTTCTGCAAAACATAAAAACCAGGTAAGTTTAACCATAAACCTTTCTATGTTCCAAAACAGTGGATTTTATGAATGGGGAATGCACTGCACATCCTCATCCTGCCATACGAAGTTGAAGAAATATAGCATTAATTTTTTTTTTTTTTTTTTGCATGCTATGTATTTGGGTTCTTTTTGGAGTTTCATTTTAATCTAGAGCTGTAAACATCTTATTACATGTTTTGATTTTTTGATAGAAAGATTATACTTTCTCCCGTATCCTTGAATTCAAATACCTACACCACACAAACATCTGTTATCTAACATCCAACTTCCTCACTGAGCGAATATTTTACAAAATAACAAAAATGCAAAAGTAGCTGAACTTCTTAATTTCTTAGAAATGTCAGGTCAAGGATACACACAACCCTTACAATACACTGGCTTTCCTTCAGGCCTATTAAAAAGATACATCTCTCAATTTGGAAATCCAATCTTTACTTGACCAAAGATGCCTCTTCTTCAGGCATCTTTCTATAAACTAATCTGTTTTGATTTTTCAAATATCACTAGTGGATGCTTGAAATTACACCTAAACTTCAGCTAAATTCGCCCATATTTTCCTATGGCTTTTTGAAAACAGTGTTATTTCCAATTTGCTCTTTTAATACATAGTAGCATTAATCATCAAAATAGGGCTCAGAAGGCCATATTAACATTATTTGACCAACTAATAGGACTAGTTATACACTACCAGTTTACGATTCTTACAAGAAATGCAACAGAAAATATGAGAATTTTCAGATTAAAAAGCATAACTTACAGAAAATCCATACCTGCTAACATAATTCTGTGTAATGGCAACTGATTCCTCCAAGTTGATCACCAAATGCCACCATCCTTGAGGTACAAAAATCACCTCCCCCGCCTTACAAATGCACTCGATAGGCTTCCTTTTCCAAGTCTTTGTTGCACCATAAAAGTTCATGAACCATTCAATTATTGAAACAGGACATGCCACCTCTGCACCATCTGGACTGGGATGCACCCCTGGAGGAACCACATCAGGAGGAAACAATACCCACTTCTTTGACCCCTTGATCAACGCATTCCAAGCTGAAGTCGAATTAGGATCAATGTGGAATGAGGAACCTGATCCAGCTGGTCCAATTATAATCCATCTGTAATCTGGCCTCTCACTTCCCAAGACACTAAATAAGTCCTCCCTAAAATACACTGGAACTTCATACTCTGAACCCAATATTGCAACTTTTTCTCCAAATTTTGGGTCAAATAGATACAGTGGCCTCTCTTCCCTCGCCTGATCAGCATACCTAAAATACTCCCCAAGTTTCATCTCCACTGGCCCAACCGAAAATTGTACATCACCACACACCTGAACCAAATAATCTCTATCCCACTTCTCCAATGCAACCCAATTATCCATACACCCTTCCAACAGCACCGGCTTATTTGGTTCCTCAAAATCAGAAATGAATTCCTCAACCGAAATGCCCCTTCTTCGGATTATATTATCTCTTTGAAGCCATTCAGGTTTCATTTCGAGATTGGCACAGAGCCAACTCTGAAAGAGATAGTCAGAATAAAAGTCCCTCACTCTCAAACCCGAAACACAGATATTAGACACATCAAATGAAGGGTAACGAGCAGCAATGTAAGTAGATTTCCAAGAGCCATTATACAAAAGCCTACCCTTTAGATTATCCAACACAAGGTTCCTCCAAAGGGGCTCATGGTTTGCAAAGACATAGAAAGATTTGCTCACAGAGGCCAAAAACCCCAAATGGGCCCCACCCAAAAACCCCAAAACCTCAAGAACAAGCTCATCTGTTAGGGTTTGGAGATTACCTAAGCCAGTGTTCCTTGAGTTGACTGAGCCTGGGCTGAGGTAGAGATTTCCCAGTGGTTGAACCCCATGTGATTGTGATGGGGCGGAGGCTTTAAGATTAAAACCTTCCTCAACATCATCACCATCTTCTTCTTCCTCTTCCTCTATATCTTCTTCTTGCTGGTATATTTCGGAAATGGGGTTTTGTTTTGTAGAAAAACTGTTGCTTCTTTTCTTGTTTTTGCTGTTCTTTTTCTTATTTTTCCTTATGATTTTGGTCCTTCTGGACAATAAGGTTTTGCAGCTAAGCATTGGAGAGCGTTTTGTGGCGCTGCTGAAACGGAAGAATGGCCGAGCGATGGGGCAGGGTTTTAGAGTGGCGCAGTTAGAAACGCATTTCTTTAGGGCCGGTAACGTTTTCAAGGTCCGTTTTCGTTTTTTACCAAAAATACATTCGGCATGTGGTTTTCATTTTCACTTGAATTTATTTTCTGAAAATAAATTCAAACTTATGTACAAAAGTTGAAAACACCAAATTATCGGTTTCATTTTCTATCCGGTGTATTGGTCTGATTGATTTATTTTCTTTTTTTTAGTCTGATTTTTCTTTTTTCTTTTCTTTTTAATTTTTTTTTCTCAATTTTCAGTTTTTTCATTCCACTTCATTATTTTATTTTGCTACACCAATGTATATTTATTTTAGGATAAAACCATCATATATTATTCAATTTTAATTTATTTTAAACTAAAGATAATAAAATTTTATTATCTAGGTTTTTCTAAAATTAGAAAGAAAAAAATTATTTTTATTATACATTTTTTATTGTTTGTAATAATTTTAGCCTTTAAAATATCAGAATTTAAAAAATATATATATATTTTAGGACAGAAATTAGCAAAAATAACTCACATATTATTATTCTCAAATTATCCTACCAAACACGTTTTCACTATTTTTATTTTATGAATATGTTTTCCAATTAATCTAACTGACACATTTTCGATCTTGAAAATGCAAATTCGTTTTTTTGTTTTCATTCTTAAAAAATATTCCCAGAAAACGTTACTGAAAATGTTTTGTTCTTTTTTGTTCTTTCTTTCCTATTATACCCTAACCCTACATTAATGTTTCGATAACTAAAATTAAGAAAAGTTAACATTAAATAAAACAAACTAAATTAAATCAGAGCGTCTTCTACTCTTTCATCGTGTCTTTCCCACTCCTCCATCACCTCCGACGACGGAACTCAGCCACATCTCCGACGAACTTGAGTTGTTTCCAGCAAATACTCAAATTCTGGCATATGAATCTACATGAATTATTTTCTCAGTCTGTTATGGATCATGCTTTTCCAATTTCTATAAGAACCCACAAGAAAATACACAATAATTTAAAATTGAAGGCTTCTTATTCAATTTTCGATGTGTTTGTTTAAAAAAATTAAAGGTTCAAATGGGTGCTGACATGAACTGATCCGGTGACCATTAATCATGCCTCCTAATTGAAAAAAAGCAAAGTCTTTGCAGCAAAACATGCAATCCACAAAACCACTTTTGACATAATGAAGGAAACCTTCATGAATTAATCCCCAAACCCAAGCTAGACGATCAATTTGGAAATGTCGTCCACATATAAATTTATATTTTCCAGGAAAATATTTACACGAAAAAAAAGGAGCTCTTATTATACGTGTTTACTGAAGAAGTAGAAGACGCTCTCACTTCCGTTTTTTTAAATTTTAATGTTAATTTTCTTAATTTTAGTTATCAAAACATTAATGTAGGGTGAGGATAGAATAGGAAAAAAAAAGAAAAAAAAGAACAAAATTAATTAAAAAGTAAAAGGGAGCGTAAGTGGAAAAAAGAGGAGTGAGAAAATCATCTCATTTTCTTTTTTGGCAAGTTATTTACA